TGGTCATGCTGGAAAGCGATCTGATGGTCTTTCCAAGCGATCACCGGCGCAGTTCGTGACGGGGGGCATTTTGCACTTTTGCTACTTCCCATCGACGTGTCGACCTATCTAGACAGCCTCTTCTCGAGTTGACAGGTTTTACCATGATGGCTTGTAAATCGTAGCAAATGAAGTAACGGAACATCAAAATGCTCCTTCCCCCCCGTCGCCGAACTGCGCCACGATCATCACCTAGCTTAACGTCTCCACGAGAGTGGTCGTTGTACCCGTCCTTGAAAACGCTGTAGTCCCCACGACCCTGTACCTGGTGACTGAGCATCACGGCCAACTGAGGCAGGGTCATAGCCTAGTGTGAACCATCTTACTTCCCTTTGAGCACGTTAACCGTTAACTGCCCAGTGTTCTTCGTGACGTCCTGCTAGTTCGAAGGTAATATTACTCCATAGTTGGCTACTGTGTGAAGTTTTCCAGCCCTACTTCCAAAGCAAAGCAGCACAAGTGCTTCTTTCTTGAGATCCTTCTACACCTTTAAAGCAGAGTCTTACCGGGCTGTCTCCCTCCCCCACCCCCCACAGAATGAGGCATAGTCAACAGGCACATCATGGTATTGCGCAAAATGTTTGCAAAATACCGACTCACCTGTATTTATTGATTTGATTTTTTCTCCTCTCCGAAACTTGCTTATCTTGGTCTTCTTCGGAGCGAGTAAATAAAAAAAATAAACAAATAAATGATTCAGCGAGTTGTTGTTTATAAAGAAAAAGTGTTGATTAGCGCCTCACTTCTGACTTTTCACGCTACCTCAAATGGAAAACTGCCTTTCAAAAACCCACTTTTGAACAGATTTGGCGCAGTTCGGCGACGGGGGGAGGGGGCATTCTGCACTTTTGCTACTTCCCATCGACGCGTCGAGCCATCAAGTGGAGACCTGTGAAATCTTGTGAAGCCACGAAATGATACAGCTAAAGATTTGTAGAATTATGTATGTACCTGTCAACACTTGCAATGAATGCCTGCAAGCCTTTGTAGAGCAAAAAACGGTGATGGCTCGACGAGTTTACTCCAACTTGACAAGTGTTTACAGGTTTCACTAGAATGAGACTTGTAAATAGGTACTAGTGATGTAGCGAAAGTGTGAAGTCTCCCCCCCCCTCTAGCCGGACTGCGCCAAGCTTTTCTAGAAATTGTTTTACTAGATAATATTTTTGACCATTACTATGGGTCTTTACCTTTCAGGTCGCCATCATGAATTCGGAGGAGTTTCGTATACACGGCAAGGAAATGGTGGATTTTGTTTCGGATATGTGGGAAAATCTCCGTCAAAGGCAACCGTTACCGGACGTCAAACCTGGTTATATCAAAGACGTTGTGAGTGCACACATAGCGAAATAGCATGATTGACATTGATTGAGCTTTTTGTTATTTGTGCATAATAATTTCAATTAACATCAATTCGAGGCGGAGGGTGTAGTGACAAATGACGGCTCACCATTCGCGCGGTCCGGGTTCGAATCCCGGGTCGACACCCGCCCAGGCCAACCAAGCCTTCTACCCTCCGGGGACGGTAAATTGGTACCAGATTCGTCTGGGAGGATAAACACTGACTTGTACATCGGCTGGCCACCGCAAGTCATTGTATAGGCCACATCGCATTCAATAAGCCACTACGATTCTGAATGGAAGTAGAATGCGTGCCGCATCCCACAAAGGGATTGATCAACGGCGAAGACTTTATCCTTTTTTAATAATATCAATAAAGTGTTCAGATAAACAGAATTAGCAACTACTCTAGAAAAGTTGTTTAGATCAACAAATTAATACCTACGTCTAAGAAAAACTGTGCCAGTAAGAACTAAATAAGTAATAAACGATAATTATAGGTACCCTTCCATCCACCATCCGAACCAGAAGAATGGGAGACGATTTTCAAGGATCTCGAGCCCGTTGTCATGCAAGGTAAACAGCTTCCTATAGCCACTTCATGGACTCCGTATCCCGGACGTGGGGTGGGTGTAGCTGTGTGCTCCATTTGAACTTGGCGTAGGATGCGTTTTTCGCGAGATATTTCCATTTGGGACACCACCCTGCTTTGAGCTGGACAAAGATACAATTGATGGAAGTCCACTGAGCAAACTGATTTGTTTCTAGGTCGCCAAAGTGCTGCGAACGGCTCCGTGTACCCCGTTCACACCTTTCAAAATTCGGACTAGATTTTCCTCCTAAACTGTCCGTGGCAGCGTACATTATCGTTGAGCGAAACTCATCATAGGGAGTCGTATTTGGGTCCCTAGATGGAGTAGATCGTGTTTGGCTTCCAGACCCCTATAGTTGGCGTCGCGGCAGAACTACTACTTCCTGAGTTCCTGAAAGGTATCTGCCCCCCCCCCCACATTTTCAAAGAATTCAATGAGAGTGCGTTCATACTTTGTTGGAAGCTCGCGCGATTGAGTCGCGAAATAAGAAGGGTGTAGGTAGATCGTCAATGAGGATCGTAGCGAAGAAGATATCAAAGGGAT